CCAACATAGGGCCTCCATCTGGAACTTATTTATAACGCGGTATTTATCAGACATCAGTGAGGTAGCAGTGGAGACTCCTCTAGGGAAGAGTGATCATGGAATTCTCAGGTTAGTATTTTGCAGTATTGCAGTATTTTGCAGCGTTTGCGGGGCTTTCGAATCTCGGCCATGCTATCCGTTTTTTCCATCATCGGATTATTCATTACATAGCCATAGCTGCGTCTGACTTTTGTATCACTCGCATGAACTTTTACCTTTGTTGCCAAGGCAACGGTTGTGTTACTACAGTGATGACAAATTTGATCAAATACACTCGTGATTTCATGCATTTCATCAAATGGACCAAATATGCAGCGACAACCTCTTTTGGGAAGACTATAAGGAATAAAAGCAAACGGACGTTCAAAAAGCTTTCGAACTATCCGAGGAAGCATCGAGCCGGTTGGAAAGTTGCTCTTTGGAAGCAAACCATCTCCCGCTTGTGTGTTCTCATCATTCTCAGTTCTAACGTTCGACCTCTTTTCGGAAACATGGCCGATCTCAGCAGCTTAATCAAGCAACGGGAATATGCCCAACTAAATGTGATTATGCTACAAGAAAGTTGGCTCCAAAATGAAATTGAGGATGAGATAATACACCCGGATGGATTCGCTAGATATCGCGTCGATCGTCCTGTTTCTTATTCCCGACAGGGAGGTGGCGTTATCACGTATGTCAAACGTCAGTGGTGCCATCTGACCAAAAATGTGTTTACTTATTCCACGTGTTATATGAACGCATCGGCAATGTAAGCCCAGAAATTTGAGTTTTTCTCGGTCACTTATTCTTGTAAATGTATACATAGCCTCCTCTTGCTCATCCCATGTTTTTAATGATTTTTATGATTCTCTTTCAACTACACTGATCGAATTCGTAGATACTTCTATCTGTATCATTTGTGGGGACTTCAATAATTTCGATACCCGTTTCTGAACCACCTAAGGTCTTCAAAACATTGTTGTCTTTCCCACTAGGCTTGACGCGCATCCGGATTTGGGTTTTATCAACCATCCCAATTTATTTCTTGTAGAACCTAGTCCCCCACTGGGAATGTCTGATCATTCTATGTTGAAGTTGCCCCCTGTTGTCTTTAGCAGAACGAACCATCGTCTCTTTACTCGAAGTCGTGATCACAAACTTCAAGTAAGACAGCGTCCTCCAGAAAGCCTCATGATGTTAAGGGAAATGATAAGAAACTGCGACCTTATTTTGTTTTCTGATCCCAACCCTTCCGTTTTCTGTGATCAACTTACTAGTTACTTAAACTCTTTTTACGATGTCTGTTGCCCCCTAGAGACAATATATATTTGTCCCCATCGATTCTCATCCCCTCACCTCAAACAATTTTGTCGTAGAAAGAAACGTGCTTTCAAAATGCATAAACGAGATGCGGTGCGCTCTCTTTTCAAATCCATCCGGGCTGAACTTCAAAGGCTAAACTCTTTATACGCCCGTGCTCTGCTTGACAACAAAGGTAGTCGTGAGACCTGGCAAGCCCTCATGCGGATCTCTGGCATCAAATCCTCACACCGTTCACCTGCTGCGGTGGACATAGATAGTCTGAACCGGAGTTTCATCAACGGCGGAACCGCTTTCACTGCCCTAACTAATGGATATGGAGTAAACACCATTGACCCCGTCTCCAACGTTGCACTTGTCGATATTTATAAAGAGTTGTCTCAGTTAAATCCTCACAAGTCCTGCGACCCCGATGGAGTTCCACCCACTGTCCTGAAAGAATGTGCTACCTTCCTTTCCCCTTTACTGTGTGCACTTTTCAATGGATGCATTTCGCAGCAACGTATACCCGACTGTCGGAAACTAGCTTCTATCAACCCTGTGCCTAAGAAGGATCCTCAAACTTCCGTCCCATTGCCTGCACTTCAGTTATCCTGAAGGTGTTTGAGAGGCTCCTCCTTAAGACCCCGTCGGCACAATTCAATGTTGTTGACCCTAACCAGTATGCATACACCCATTCCCGTGGTACCCTGGATACCCTTGCTTATCTATCTCACCATGTTTTACCTAACCTGGACAAGAAAAGTAAGGCTGTCCGCATGTTTTCTTGACTATAATGATGCTTTCAACACGATTAATCGACAAACGTAGTTAAATACCCTCTCTTCGGGCGGAGTTCAAACTTCTACAATTGAACGTTTGGTCAACTATTTTCCAAACCATCAGCAGTTCACACGCCACAAAGGACGTACATCTTCACTGCTTCTCTTTTCAAAAAGCGTACTACAAGGCGCCATTTTATCCCCTTTTCTATTTTCTGCCTGCATTTTCTCTATGTCTGTGAGCAATTCTTCTCTTCTCATCAAGTATGCAGATGATATAATATTCGGACTGCCCTACCCCAACTCATCATTACAAACGACTCTGCAGGAAGACGTGACTGGATTAGTTGAATGGTCACGACAAAGAAACCTCTTCATGAACCCCCAAAAATGTAGTGACAATTTTTTCTCTTCTGAAAGGACAAAAGTTTGATGAATTATCAAACTCCAACCCACCTTTATCTATCCTGAGTGAGCAGATGGTACGAAAACCGATTGTCAAATACCTGGGTGTTATTTTTAATCATAACCTCACCTGGTCTGACCATGTCAATGACGCTTTTTGAAGGTCAGGATGCTCACTGTTTATGTTTTACGCCTTAAATTCCTTTCCATTCCAAACCATCTCACAAGGCGTTTTGTTTTTGCGTGCGTTTTGCCTCACTGGCTTTATGGGTCCCCTGTTTTCTTCCTTGGTCTTTTGAACAAGGACCTCAAACTCATTTCCCGATCCCTCAGATTTCTCTGTTTGTAGTCTCGTTTTACGGGAACATCTAGTAGAGTTTGTGGTGACACATCACTTCAAATCCTGTAAAACATTCTCGAACGGGATTTCATCTGATATCTCCCATCCTNATATCTCCCATCCTCTTTATTCCTCTCTTAGCGACTGCCTTTCCCCCTCATCCACCCGTTCTACTCACAAACTCATAATGACTCGCACTGAAGCTTACAGGCGGTCTGTTGTTCCTTATCTCGCCAGATTTCTAACAAACCAAAACCTCGTTACGGGAAATCTGCGTGGAACACTACACTAAATTCGTCATGAACTCTCAGGTGTGCCACTCATTTTGGATGTTGCTGTCCCTTTTCACATCCTTTTAACTGCTGTATTATACTATTCTGTTTTACGTATTTTTTGACACACTATGGTTATGTGGTTGCTGGATATGCACCTCTAAAAGGGGGGGGCGGGAAAGCCATTCCTTGACTTGGCTTGACTTGACTACCCATGAAATACAGCAAAGCGGCTGCCCCACTTAAATGGTGCTATAGCCGTATAAACGTTGCTGCCCTTCAAGAGGCCGCGGAGCACGTAGATTGGGTACAACTAGCTCCTGAGAGAACGTTGAAAGAACGATGGTCTGCCATTAAGGTATGAATGCTCAGACTGACTGATAAGTTTGCACCCCTAAAGTCTAGGATCAATAGACAACGACCAAATTGGTGAAAACCACAGCTAGATTGGGTACTAGCAACCAAAAGAGGTGCTGGGTTTGCTTTAGAACTGCAAATGCGTGGTCAATCTAAGAGAGGGCACGCAACAAAGCGCAATCTCTTCAAAGGGAGGCGAAGTGTGAACATGAGAAAAACTTAGCGCAAAACGTTAGGCATAACCCGAAAACGTTTTATGCATACATGCAGGTAAACAAGAACACTAAGGAGAGAGTAGGTATATTTGAGGTAACGGAAGGCGTAATGGCCACCACCAACCAGGAAAAGGCAAATGCACTCCTTATGTTTATCTGCCACCAAAGGCAGAACACACTGTGGGCTGCAGCCTAGCTAGAACAAGGGAGCCATTCACAGAGTTCACCCTCTGTGTATTTCTAGACGAATTGACAAAAAAAACAGAAGCAGATTGTAACGGCATTCCGAACAACCTTCAATGTGAATCGCAATGTCTCGACTTTGACTGACCAAATTTCCAGCACGTGGGGAAACAAATGAATGACAGTTGAAATTCTGTTTCTAATATGGACATACATCAATACATCACAACGCCCGCCAATGGCGCAGCGATTTCTTGTCGTCTTCCGTATAGATTTCAAACCAAATGTTTCCATTTGACATTTAAATAAATGATTTCGAGTACCACGTGGCGTCATTTGTCTTGTAGACGCTGATGGGATAGTTGCTATTACATCATTGTGCAAGTGCCCGTCTCAAGTAGGGTAAATGGTCAGACCATCGAGCCTGATGGTAGTGTGGGAGACCAGAGGAGAATACGTCGGTTTGAGTATAATCCACCCAATGAGGTTGAATGCCCCAACTTGCCGGGATTTAGAGGATTCGAGCACTGACGCTCTTCAGACATGGACGATTTCAATAAGATAAATTATCGTGATATGGAAATCGATCAAGCATATATATATCCATGAAGCTGGATTTCGGCGAACGCGGGGTTTTCTTTTCCTTGTTTTGATCGTAGAGAGCTAATGAAACCACCAGTGAAGACAATATGCAGCCGTTGATAGAAGTCTGTGGCGATTGCAACTGGGGCTTTGATTGAGGCTTAATACAGATTGGATGTCGATAAGGAACGATGTTCTCCATTTATTCTCAAAACTGATACCGCAATTATAATAATAATAATATTAATAATAGGTGTATATTTCAAAAAGCCCGTGAGGCATGCACAAGGCATGATCAAACGTTCAGAGCGAGTATACGTACAATAACAGTGTAAGCACATAGGTAGACAATAAAAATGGTGGGGATCAGAACGAAAACACGGTGTTAAAGGAATACAAACCAGACAAGGTCACCGACGAATTTATGAAGGATGGA